GTAATATTCCATAGGGTGTTGTGATTAAGGTTGGTGTTTAACGAATAAAAGTTGAAGCGTTATTAGTTTCAAACCGATGAAAATTCCCCACATTGAACACATGGTACATCTACCATCAAGTACTGGTTAGCAAAAGAACAGTGAAAGCTTTAGTCGAGTATCTTTTTACACTGATCCTGGTATCAGGGCTATTTGGTTCAGTCAGTGGTGTAACAATTTTATTACGGAAGCCACTTACATACCTTTATCCCTGGGTGCTGGAGATCTCTGCTGTAGGAATGTCCTCTGGTGCTCTAATGCAGTGCTGCTGGTATAATCAATCGTTATAGAATGAAAACGCAGTATTTTTTATCAACTAAATGTGTGCGAAGCTTCCAGCTATATCTGTAAGATTATTTGATTGCCTAACTTTGTCTTCATTTTTACGTATCTGACATTGTTTCAAAGTTCACTGGGTTGACCAGAATCTACTCACACTCATACGTTCAATTGCACTCTGTTATTAGCTATAGCAATCCATAATTCACGACATTTGTTAATCTCCTCGTGAAAATGGTAGTTTTCCTACGAGTTTGAAAAGTCTCTGTTTGCGAACCGAGAGGTTTGCGGCCCGAGCCGAAGGCGAGGGACGTAACGAGGTTCGTGAAGGAGACTTTTCGAACGAGTTCCGGAAAACTGCTTTTTCGCCCTAGGAAGTACCAGCCTCCCAAAACCACCCGAGGGCGGAAAAGTACTTTTTCCGCCCTCGGGTGGTTTTGGGAGGCTGGTACTTCCTTGGGCGAAAAAGCAGTTTTCTGATACTTGTTTGAAAAGTCTCCTTTACGAACCTCGTTACGGACCTCGCCTTCGGCTCGGGGTGCAAACTTCTCGGTTCGCAAACAAAGACTTTTCAAACTCGTAGGAAAACTACTATTTTCACCCATGGTCCAAAAGTGTTGTAAGGGTGCAAAGTATATTCACTGGCTCAAAGTACGAATCGAAAATAAAAATGATGTTTCGACCTTGGGCATAAACATACGAAGAACCCTGTTATGGATTTTTTTATTTTGTTCCTATAGTACAAAAACTACTATTTCTTATCATGAGCACAAAGTGCAACTGTGGATTTTTGCCCTCGGGCCACGTTTTGTACCCTTGTTATCACTTTGAGCCGATTGGCAAAAAAGTACTTTGGGCCCGGATTCATTCGGTGCAAAGTGTGCTCACAGACGCAAAATTGTGCTGTCACCCTCGGTAGCAAAAGTAATATACGCAACTTGGGCACGCACACATAACAACTGCGCCCTTAGGACACTTATGTTTGTACTTTATGCCTTAGTAAGGTAATGTACTGTTCCTTACCATGAGCGCAGTCCTTATGCCATTTTCTTATAATAATGAGTTATATCACATAAAATCTTATACTTTACTTAAAAGATTTAACAGATAAATTTTTTTTCCTATTTTTAACTTTTTTTGTTTTATTATTTGCCGTATTTAATGCATTAGAATTAGTTTAAAAGTAAATTTTATACACAATTAAGTAAGGTTTATATTAGACTCTTGGAAATTGACAGTTTTTATTAGTTTTTATCGGTTCCTTTTAATAGGGACTCTATTAACATATAAGCGTTATATCGATTTTCTTAGAAATACAATATTGAAGACTACAGAAATAATATAAATCAAAAAGCAGTAAAGGAGCTACTATAAAATGTGTCTGTTACTTCTTATTTGGTAGATCTGTGTTTTTAGGGAGCTGTCAAAAAAAATTTTTTTGATTGCAAGTATCCTGAAAAATCGAGGACGCAGTAGTATTATATGTTTAACTTATGGAGTTATTTGGGTACTTAGTAATATAAACTGAAGATAGTTAATGATACCATCAACAGAACTATATTCTAAGCTCTTTTAGTTGACAACTTATCGTATCTAGCAGTGTATTTATAAGAAGCTTCATTCAGGCATATACATTTTCCTAATTAAATTTTTATTTATGGTGAAAATACATTTCGATGCTCATATTACTATCCCTTATCACTTTTTGACTCGTTTTTTAAAATATTTATGAACTATATTATTAAAAAAACTTATACAATGTCTCTTTTGCAAACTACCAGTTTTTCAAATAAAATATATTCAACCACCTTATTTAAATGAAACGAGTAAATCGTACAACCTTAAAATTTTACAACATTAATAAAAAAAAGAATTTTTAAGGGTTGACCTTCAATTAGATGAACCACTTGAGACCTACGATTGCACTTTCTTAGTAAAATATTTCATAACTAGTATAAATGTTGGCCTGTCTTTAGCTGTGTAACTGAAACATGGGTTTATTAATTCCTGTAACGATTTTCCAATGCAGAGACATTTAGCTCTAACGTTTGAACCTTCAAACAGATCTCCGTGATTAATTAGAGAAATTTTTTTAATTCAATATAGCAAAAAATTTGCTGAATTGGTTCACCCAAAAACATTTCTTTACTGATTCGGAGCTGATTTTTCTCGCAACAGAAGTTCAGGTATCGTGTACATGGGCGTTTTTCTAAAATATTTTCCTACATTACAATCAAAAACTGCTGGAATGCCTTTTGTTCACCTAAGTCCAAAATCATAAAACTTTAGTTTCATCATTTAGTAACTTACTAAATATTGTTGAGCTCAATATTTCCATGTACTGTTCCTACATATAGATTGAGTAAGTATGCACCAGCTTTGCATAACTGTTCGCAAAAGTATCTCGTGTTCTCTGAGCTTAGTTATGCACAGGTTTATAAAATTTATCAAACAAAATTTATCTTAAATTAATGCTTTCAAATAATTTTGTAACAATATAACAGTGGACTGAATCAGATCACACCCCCATGATCATGATAATGTAATGTTTTCATACCGGATACGATGTACCACTTCCTTTTTTGGACACTCCGTAGCCTCCAGTTCCTATCAATTAATGTGAAAATTGTATATCATCCTTTTTAGTAGCGCACAATGATGAACTTAAAATTTAAAATGGTGGTTGTCTTAAACTATTTTCTTGTACATTTTTGTTAGAAAAATCTTTGAGAGCGCTATGGATTCTTTATATTTTTGCAGAAACTCCAAAAATCTATATCGTAAGTACTACTTGTTACAAAATTGATAAATATTTTTTCTGGCCCACTCAGTAATGAACTGTGTTGTTTTTAAAATACCCTGCATTCCCATGATTTTTCTTACAGTTTTAAAACTCATATTTTTTATGTCTGTAAAGAAGCACTGAGCCTCTACATTCAGTTTTACTACTTTTGATCCACCTAGTAACTTTTTGACCCAATGATACACTACATCACCTACATTACTGTTCAACCAACCCATATGATATCCTTGTCAATTTGTGACTGTACTTAGATCTAGAATAACATTAATCCAATTATTCAAAAATGTTATGTACTTTTTTAGTACTTTGACTTGCAGCATATTACCTTTATTACCTTGATTTCCATTGTATTATCCTCAAATTACTTTTTTCAACTGAATTGTGACATAATGTTTTTAAAATCATCTTTTTGTTAGCTAATTTTTGTTACTGCAATATACACAGATATATCCACACATGAAACGTGCAAGAACCACAAAAAAATTATTAAATTACTGATACTTCCGATCTTCAACAAAAAACTTTGTATTTGGCTACTAAATCCAAAATAGGAAAATGTTCGTTTGCCAAGTTTACGCCATAAATTTAGTCGTCACATCAATTGTGTAACTCAATTCAATGAAAGATTTGAAAAAATATGACTTGATAGTCTTCAATCTTAGCTTGATGTATTTGACAAGGTAACTAAAATTAATTTTCATCAGTATAAACTTTGACGAAAGCAGTGGCCATGTTAATACTGTTAATACATATACACTCGTAAACTTCCGCAATACCTTTAAGATTCAGGTTATGTTTGCATGGTACAATATCGATACTTTGAAAAAATTATTGAAAATGTCTATGTTATAACACCTATGTTATAAATATCAGCTTAGGTCGATGCAATTGTAATTTGGTACTACTTTTGGCGGAACCCAAGAACTCTTGTTGTGTTGAAAATACATCGTTGTTGAACTGAATTACTTTAACTTAATCCAACCTACAAAATTTTGCATTAGTTTGTAATACTTCTTTATCAGAAGCCTGAAAATCAGCTGCATCAACCCATAAATCAGAAAAGTTGTCACTATTGTATTCGTGAAAACTATCAACATGTCTGAAATATTTCAAATACGATATAACGGATGCTGTTATTTACGAGTACAAAGCACGTAGTCAAATACTTTAACTATATTTTTGCCCTGTCAGTACCAACTTTTAATTGGATCAAAGCCCACTGTTTTCTATTGAATCCAAAGTTGGTATTGTTTTGAGGTTGTGTGCTGGAATTGCACAAAAATTCTGAAAATATCTTTTCGTTCCCTGAATTATGTAACTCCCTTCTCCATTAAAATGTTCTGTGGTATAAGGTTTTGCTTGCTTTAGTTGATCTTCATCAATCGTTATTCTTTGGATATTATTAATCGTCAAACGTGGAAAATCAACAAATTTACTTGCTCTTATATTATCTCAAATCAAGGTTTTCTTAGCCCAATTATTATTACCAACCACTTTTTGTAATTGGTTTTTTTGCTTACATAAAGTAAGCATCCTCTCAGCAATGATAGCATCACAGTATGTTGTCAAAACTCTTTGTGATACGTAAATATAGTAGATGGTTGCAACAGTTTTTACATCATCTCTTATAAAAGTATTTCAAAGTTAGGCATGACTTGATGAAGCATTATCTATTGTTTTACTGAGTTGTTTAGCTTTTTTTTACTGAATTTTTTTACTGCTTTATTTAAAATTGTATTGCTTAAAAATGTTTTGAATCGTTAAATTAAGAACCAATAATGGTTATTAATCTACGAATATAAGACGGGCATGCTGATTCATGATAAGTTAGACAAGATAAGGTAATAAAAAAATGCATTTTTAGAGTTAAGTTGTTTATTCAAATATTGTTTTCTTTTATTTCTTTTACTAGATAGATAGCTAAGGAAAATCAGAGGGTGGGTTGAAGTTGTCAATTGATTGGGTAATAATTAATAAGAGATTGAAATCAGTAGACTAAATCTTGAGAGTTCAATGATCTGGGGCATCGTTATGACCAGGTAAGAAAGGTAGGAGGATGGTAACATAATCGAGAAGTAAAAGAAAAAATCTCTCAACTCCAAAAAAAATTTTTGTTGATACAAAATTCAAAATAAAAAAAAATTAAAAAACATGAAAATGAGTGATAAAGGCTCTGTTCTTTTCACAAAATATGGTCAGAAAGATGTCGATTCCGGCTGAACGATGTAGTCAGATATCAGAAGAGATGCTGTGTTCTGCTTGTGTTTTTATACATGGGTGTGTGAATGCGTACGTGGATGTTTGAAGTTGTCTCTTTTTGATTACCCCGGAGGGTCTAATGATGGAGACCATGATGAATAACAGGTACATAGTGGTCGTGGCCAGGTAGAACGGTCTTGGTCAGGATGGTCTCGACGTGTGGTTTGGGGGCGAGTGGCTGATGGTGAGGTACTACATGAATGGGCTCCGCATGAGCAATCAGAGGGGCAGCATGGACAATCGGGGCTGCATGGACAATTGGAGCTGCGTGAACAATCGGGGCTGCGTGAACGGCGTGGATGGCTGGAGCAGGGTGAGCGACTGGCTGAGCGATCACAGAAACGTGATGTGGGTGTGAATGCGAGATAACGTTGGGTGCGTGGATTGGGCCCAGGCCATGGTCCAAGATGTGGCCGGTAAGGCCGCCAGGAGCAGCACTAGTTATGGCCACAAGGGCGGTGAGAACTACCTGTTTTGTGAAACAAAATAATGTTATCTTTAGATTGTTATATATGGCTATTGTTTTTATAATCATTTTGTTCCTTTTTGTTTACTTGGAATAAATGGGCTGAGCTGGAGAGTTGAATCATTTAATTTGTGTTGCATACGTTAACATGCAGTTTTGAAAAAAGCTTTAATCTGTTTATAATATATGCTAATGTCATCAACTTTGTTCAGTAATATTTTACTTATCAGCTCTTGTTGTAGATCATTAATATTAAAAATAACAAAAAAGTGTGAGTAAGAAATTTGCACAATTTGGATGTAAAGATCTATTACAAGTCATTGTTGCTCATTTAAAGAATTATCTGATGGCTTAAGTTGTATTTAATACTATCAAAAAAATTAATGGTAGTTTTCCTACGAGTTTGAAAAGTCTTTGTTTGTGAACCGAGAGGTTTGCGGCCCGAGCCGAAGGCAAGGGACGTAACGAGGTTCGTAAAGGAGACTTTTCGAACGAGTTCCGGAAAACTGCTTTTTCGCCCAAGGAAGTACCAGCCTCCCAAAACCACCCGAGGGTGGAAAAAATCTTAAAATAGGTTGCGTAAGAAATTATCACTCATAAGCTATGAGCAAATGTAGCTGTACAGTGACAATACAATTTTTTTTGTCTCTTCATGCTTAGCTTTTATTTGAAATATGCTCTTGAATCATTCATTTACGATTATACTATTTTCTTATTTTCTCTAGACTACTTAAGGTAGATTTTAAGCCCTTACGTGTATAAAGCAATGACAAAAAAAATTACGGAGACATAAAATTCATTTCTAAATAAAGTGAAATATGTAGTTCATACAATTTTGGAGATTTTTGTTAGTATCTTCTGAAAAAGTTAAGTCTCTTTCATTTAAATCTTTAAAGCCCTAAACTAGAACTATTAAAGTAGTTTAATATGTGTAGTACCATGTTTAGATTGCTTGTTGGTGCTATGTAAGTACTTGTAATACTTATAAATTCACTGATAAAATACTAGTTTTTTTACAGGAAGAGAAATACAACTTCTGCACGTACGGGTAATGATACTTGAGGTTAAGCTTCAAAAAAGTAAATATATTGCTTAATAACAATTAACTTAAAAAAAAAGGTGAAATATGTATTCCTATTTTGGGCGCTTTTTTTAACCGTTGAACAATTACTGCGCCCTTAGTAGGAAAAATAGAGTTCACACTTGGTGCGCATCCAACCAGAGTAAGCACAAGGAGTCTCTTGGACCTTACTTTGTAGGTCCTTCGGGCCTGGTGCTTGTTTTGGCGACATGGACTTCTAGATACGAAAACTACAATTTAACGTCATCGGTGGAAGTTCGAAACTTTTTACTTTCAAGATGCAAAAGTGCAATACAACATTTGGTATAAAAATGGCGTTTACTGCTTATTAGCAAAATATTTTGGCATCCTTAGCACATAAAGCTTTTCCAGAGATAAAGGTTAGGGTGACAAACGAGCATAAAAATATTTTTTGAAGAAATGTAAATGGCAACTTTTATCTGAGGGGTAATATGACACTTTACTATTAGCAAACCAGAGATAAATTTGTAGTTTTACCATAGGTGTATATAACAAATTTTTTTCAAGTTTTTTTCACGAAAAATAAATATAAAATAATAACGTTGACTCATTTTACGTAAAAGTGTTGCAGCAGATCAAAACTTAAGTAACAAATAGTAAACAAAATGTTTACATATAAACTGTTTGAGGAAATTTTATATTTTCTTTCCACAGATTCTGAGTACCTGGAAAATAATAAGTAACCCCGTTTTTAAAGTTTCAATTTGAAAATTAAAATATGTAACTATGGTTGAGCAATATTTATACCATAGATATTTTCTTACAACATTAATTTTTTCAGTCTAATTTTTGTTTTAATTATATTCATTCACAAAAATTTTATGAATAATGCCATTTGCATCTGTTCAAAAAAATTTTTTTCCGCCCTCGGGTGGTTTTGGGAGGCTGTTACTTCCTCGGGCGAAAAAGCAGTTTTCCGGAACTCGTTCGGAAAGTCTCCTTTACGAACCTCGTTACGTCCCTCGCCTTCGGCTCGGACCGCAAACGTCTCGGTTCGCAAACAGAGACTCTTCAAACTCGTAGGAAAACTACTATTTTTTCATGACTGGAAAGTCTAAGTATGTTTTTTTTTTTTTTGCATTTAGACTCATTGATACTTTTATAAGTAAATGTCATAATTTTGTATAATTGGCTTTCATTTATATCGTACCATTAGAATCAAGTTAAAATTAGGCTTGTATGTAGTTTAATTGTTTCACAAACTAATGATATTGAGATTTGTAAAAATTACATAAAATACATTATTTTGCAAGTTGTTTTAACCTTTTATGTAAATTAGTACTGCTTAACAAATGACCGTTGCTTTCTGTTATCTTTTTGTATTTAACGCTTTTTTTTACTATTTAAAAAAACATGTTGAGTACAAGAAGTAAATTCATTGTAAAGCTGATAATTGACAAATTAACTCTTGTAATAGTTGAAAGTTGTTTATGTCCCTGTTTTTGTCCCTTCTAAACATAAAAGAATTTATTTATATAACTATTAGATTATGCGGTAAACCGTATCAGGAATTTAGTTTTTTTTTTATTTATTTTTTTTTTAATTTGACACTTATAACTTTTGCTTTTAATTTTGTTTGAAAACTTAAAGTTTCTCTAAGTTGTGATCAAAAACTTTTTTCACAATTCTAACTCATTTTAAAAATTTTAAACGTTCATTTACTTTTTTGTCGAATGACTTCCTAAACAAAAATGTAAAACAAAAAAACTATACTTTGACGGGATTTACAACTTTTTGTAATCATATTAACATAAAATTTTAAATTGGTTTTACACCAATAATCGACGATCAATGTCTGATTATACCATTATGGTAGAAAAAATCTACAATGCACTTCTGACGAGGAATCGTGCCTTAAAAAACAATCCAATATTATGGGTCTGAGAAAGTTTTGACTATACACGTTAAAACCATATCTTCAAAAGTGTTGCTTTTTTTTATAAATTACAAAAAAAAGTAATGCTAACAAAAATTTAGGTCTTTTTATCACGAAATGTATTTTTTACTGTCAAACTACTTCTGCCGAATAAACCATAATTCTTTAGAACCATTGATTAAAAATTGAAAAGTAAATCTACTGTATTCGTGACTATCTACGTTTGTTCACGATAATGTCATGCGTTTTATGAAGTCGTAAAAGTTACACAATTCTTTGCATTCAAACTATTACGCTAGGTTTAAGGATGACTATTTCATAAGTTACTAGCTGTAGTCTTCCTGATCGTCACTAATGAAGCTATAAAAATTATACAAAAGCTTTTACAATATAAAAATTGTTCATATTTCACAGAAGGAAGAATTTTTGCTGAACTGAAAGTAACAAAAAATAAATAGTTTTATGGACAGTTTGATTTCACGAATGTGGTATGTTGGAACTACTTTTCAATATTGTAAAGCATAAAGTTATAAATTTAACTTTGGTTTCACAGCTGAAAAGACATTCGTTAAATTAAAATAGTTTTTTACCGCTTAATGTATGATTTTAGCACCTCCAGTTGCTTTTTTTGTGTTTCTAGAGTGCATAGTGCACTCGTATTATTATGTATCAAAAGCCTTAGTATACTTAGACGATTCCTCACAGAAAAATAATATTTATTAGACGATGCGCAAACTTTAATAGTTTTTATATTTTTCGCAATATCATTTAATAATGAGTATCTAGTAAAATTATTGAATAAAAATTTTTATTGCAACTTTTCTCATTTAAAAATGCCTACATCATAACATATGTTGTAATTTAAATATCAGCTTTTGTTTTGTCATTGAAAATATGAGTTTTCGTTATAAAAAAAAAGGTAATAATGGGAGTTTCCTGAGTTTTATTTGAATGTCAACAGTATTATCGTTAATCCCGTTCCAAGAGTACTTAATGAATGCACACTTGAATAAGCTTTTTCGATGTTTCGTTTGCAACGAAAATAAATTAAAACAACACGATGGAAGGTGTCCAAACAGATCCACACACTACTAAATACACGTAGAAATCAAAACCGTCAAACTAATTTGCAATGGTTCGTATAACGATGTCCATTAATTACAGTAGGCGCAAGTGAAACGTCATTTGCGTCAGCGTATGCGCATGTGATCACTGATTACAGCAGCGGAAGGCGGAACTGCACCCTAGAGTGCGATGTACACAGTTTTTATGTATCATGTATCGGGGACATTGCACGGATAGTAGTCGAAAGTGCACCGTTCACCGAGAGTCAGACATAGGTCTTTGAGAAAAAAAAGCTCCATTCCTGCTACTTATGCTCAGATGAGTGCACGAGTCATATGATAGCCGAGACATGTAAAAATGCAACCTGGAGAGGAATGGATAACGCTGCTGACAACATCACGCTCACCCCCCAGTTCGAGGCCCGGAGACTTTGTAGGTACGTAATATACGTGCTCGAGATTAACAACGACAATTTAATTAGATGGACTTATTTTTCGAAAGCTTAAGTGAAACTTGACTTTTTTTTTACTTTAAACCGTTGTACGGATTCACAAGGCTCGAATTCAACAATTGCGTAATTTATGCCGTTTAGTTTACTATAGTTTTTTCCGATTGTATTCCCTATGTTTTATGTGCTAATCTATGTACGAATAATGTTATCTTCGTATTGATAAATCGATAACTTATCAAAATAAATCAGAGCTTGAATTCAATTGTACTGAAAATCTCTAAATGCACCGAAAATACAAGTGTTGGACAATTTTGAAGACTGTAACTATGTCGTATTAAAGCGAAAATGGAAAAAGTCTTGATCTGTCTGTAGTTGCTTGAAAAAATAATCATCTAAGAAGGTTCAATTTTTCACCCAAGTGCGAGGTAGATAAAGATTTTTGTATAAATTGAGGTAAATTTTAATTTGGTAAGAAAATTTTTTAATAGAACTTGGAGGGTTGGGGGAGAGTAGTACAATGCAATAAACTCGTAGTTGGATATGTGGACCTATTCGTTCGGCACAAGAGTAAAAAAGGCAGACAGGCACTTACCAGCTTGAACATACTGCTAACGTAAGACCAGCAAAGCGCGGGAAGCTCAAAGTCTGCTCGAAAGTTCACGACGTGACAGGCAGCGTAGCTGTGCTCGAGCCGCTACTGCTCGACCAGCGTTTTATAGCCGGAAACCGGCGAACTCCGGTAAAAATAAAAGCTCGAAGGGTCACGTGGTCACGTTGGCTGACGCTGGGGGCCCGGATAGTTGAGTCAGCCGCGCAACAGAGTGGAGGAGGTGGTCGATAGGCGCCTGATATTTTTCCGACATCGGCCCCCGGACCGGCTGGCGCCACGTTGTCTATTGGCAGTGGATTGCACGTATACGCAGGATGCCGCAGCTCGTCTCGATAATTAACCGGTGAAGCTCTGTCTACTTGCAAAATCAGCATTGCGATTGGGCTGGGCCGATCGTAGGTTGACGACGCGTAACGACATAACTACAGCATGGCTTTTGTTGCTGAAAGGCGTAGCATGCACCTATAGTTGGATTTTCTTCTGGCTACTTGACCTGCAACAGAGAGAAGGGATGTCTTTCTTTGTCTCTCCTTGTGTTGCTTTTGTCAGGGCGTTGCTCCTTATGTTTTGAATATTGTGCTCCGACAGATGGTTACTGCTGTAAAAAAAAAANAAAAAAAAAAAAAAAAAAAAAAAAAAAAAAAAAAAAAAAAAAAAAAAAAAAAAAAAAAAACAATGTAGAATTTACCCTCTCTAGGTGATAGTAGAGTTAATATCCAAGTACTAAGAATTGTTAGATGTTTCATCACTTACCATGATCGTATCCGACTTAAAAATCCATGTTTGTGCCATGCAAATAATTTTATGAATACTATCAATTGAAGCACAAAATTTTACTATTTGAAGTGTCAGTGAACATAATTGACGATATTACAAGCACGATTAAGATCCGGCTGTTTTCTTTGATGTTTATGACAAAAAATGTTTTTGTAAATAAATGGCTACTAATATTACATTGAAGTAACAGATTCCATTGGCATCAGGATAATTATTGTACGAATCAACCAATTGATGACCAGCAACATATTAAGTAGAGTACCCATGGTTTGATACAGCAAAGTAAAATCGTTGAAAGTATTGAAAACAAGTATGTGAAAAAAGTGTCTCTTCAAGAAAATATGAAATACGTAAACTTGAACGCTGTTACTTGAGGTAAAAAATTCTCGTCTATGGGAGGACGTGGTTTTGAAAGTCTTTTCCAACAGCTTACAACGAATCGATAATAAGACCAATTACTTTAATTATTTTTCCCCAATTTTATTTTAATACCTAAAAAAGTACGGCTCACGATTCTTTGAAATCATGGGACATGCGTCTGATCTCTTTAAGACACATTTTCATCGTAAAATTGTAATGTCTTTAAACACGAAGCAATTAAAATAAGGCACTATATGCAACTGTATACGTATTAAGAATTCAGATGATGTACAACAAAAAGCCTACACTACGTTTTTTTACGAAGTGACAGTACATCACGCACGTACATGAATAATACAATGTTAGGATTATTACTTCAAATAAGTTCAAACGTTGAAGCTAGTGATTTTTTTATTCCATTTCGACGAAATATTTTTTTTTCCATGGATGTATTAATCTTTTGACGATTTTGTCCTTTGTTGTGCAAAAAATATCAAAGTAGCAAAATAAATTATTGCTCAACAAAATAATTGCGTTGTAAATTTTAATGCAATCCTGATCAAAGAATTATACGCCTGCCCGGCTACGATATTATTATGACCATTGTTATTATTTCTTGCGATACCTCAATAGTTGCATTATCAAAACGTGCATAGTTTCTCACAGCTAGTGCACCATGAAAGTTATAATCCTGCAACTCGGGACGAAGGCAAGTAATCATTTTACTCATTTACGCTGTCTTCGGTGACTTGTACCAACTGTTTTTACTATCAGCTCAATAATGGAATGTACAAGCGTTTGCCTAACGCGTTGATCGAAGCACTATATAAAGATGAAAAATAAGATTGGCCATTTAAAAAATCAGACTGTAACTTGATGATATTGAGTGTGAAAAAATCTCATCTACTCATTATTACTACCAACAAATTCAAAATAATTGCAATCTTTCAATTTCAAAAAAACAACGTGAAGTAAGGTCGTTGAACTCAACGGGGTCCTGTCTTGGCTTTGCATTCTCCTTGTACATTTGGAACAATAACTTACGGTTAAAATATCAGTGGATCGCTCATTATTTCTTATAATTATTAATTGGACGTGCGTCAGAAAAAGTTATGAACAATCGTACAGTAACATACTAAATTTCCCTTGCATTGACCGTTTACCGCTTTATTTCGAAATTATTTTTTTAGCCTATTTCAAGTTACTAATACGACAATTCAACGACGTTCAATAGACAAACACAATTTTTTCATCTGTGGAATAATCGCTTATTCGTCTTGATTACGTACGTTAATGTCTTCCACTGTTTTTGAAAAATCTTCATCGCCAAGGAAAAAAGAAAATGTGTCTTGTTGGAACGAGGTGTCCGTATAAAAAAATTGTACTCTATAATTAATACTATTTTTACCGTTTGTGATAGTGCAAGATTAGAAATAATCATGATAATCGAGTATTCATTCGTCTGCATTTGTTGAAGTGACAAGAGCCAGATGGAGAATTGCCTAAGCGTTATTTCACAAAACGTTGCTACGGACTGTGTATCGTGGAATTCATTGCAACTATTTAGTCAGACCATTAAGTATGTATCAAAGAGTGTCAGTTAATTAACGCGCAGATACACACAATACATTATACCAACGTTAGCAAGTACCGAAGCGTGGCATGCGTGCAGAAGCGAGTAACTTTATCTCATTAATGTGCAAATTATTTCCAAGTTTTTTACACAACGGCACGAGACAACTAGAGTACACTGAGCCGCGTTGAGGTGCATTAATCATGTGTTTTTCTATTGTTCTTTTTTCAACCATGTCTTTTGTGAAAATGAAATTAAAGCCTACTCACCTGCTGTTCGCGAGTTTTATAGCAATAGTGTACTCATGAAGAAAGTGTAGACTAGAACCCAGGCCTATTGCATAGACCATCAGTCTATGACTCTTCTATCTAACCTACACTTAAAAATTGGGATTATTGCTATCATTACACTATCACAATATTTATGAACTAAATTTCGTAAATTTCGTTATTAATTTTATTAGACATAAAAAAAGTACTTGTTATAAGGTGTTTTCTGTAGAAATTATTTACACCTCAGGATACCGCAAGTTTAATTCATAAATCAACAGTTCCAGTACATAAGTATACACCATAGACGTAATACAAATTTCAAAATCCACGATTTTCGAATAAGCCAAGAGAGCATGCGAAAACTGCAAGGTCGAATCAGTAGTTCCCTTAACTATAGCATAAAGTATATAGGCTTAAAGAGATACATCTCTTCAACTTCATTTTTTGCAAAAACTGCTGCGAAAGATGGAAATTGGATAAACGATTTCCCAACATTTTGTTTTGCCTACGCGGCCAGATGTGGAGCGCAACGCCACGGCTGAAAACGTCTAATTGATACTCGAGTCAAGTATTATATTCCCGCGATGTAGTTGATCAGCAGCAGGAGCACCGGCCCATAGCGTTACGTTGCTACACTGCGCCTATAGTTTAGAACCAGTATTTTCGTAATCGTATGCCTACAATGCGCACATACTCGCACAGCCTGGTAAGCCAGATACATCTAGGCATATACCTGTAAAAGTACAGACACCACGGCGGGACTGTGTATTATATACCTGCTTGTTTTTCCCTCTCCGGCTCCGTCTGCATGACTTCCCCTTTATTTACAATCGGTCGACTCGAGCTCTCGTACACGCGAAGCGAAAAACGGGAGAGTCGAACAGATACTCATTATAGTAAGATTGTCAGGCCTGAGACCGAGTGCACACATATACCGTTGCCATGAGAGCGAAAATTACGCCCAACCGGCGCTGGGCGAGGGTCAAAGGGGGGGGGGGGGAGGGCAGGCCCTCCTCGCGCGATATACCTGCACAATTACATGCATTATGCGAGCGGTAAGATGTATAGTACGAGTTTTACTAATGGTTCACATTGAACGCGAGCGTGCCCGCTTACGTGCTTATCTCACGGGTAGGTGCGCGGGTCTAGTTGAACACATTTTTGAAAGATTCGAGCTGATAGATCTCGTTGGTCTCGTGCTCCTGATCGGTCTCTCATATTTCACATCGAACTTTTTTTCGCGGTAAGAACAATAGGTCAAGAGTTCATCTGTCGCCAAAACCAATGGAATTACTAACAGAAATAAAAATTGTACCAAGTAACGGTCAAACAACATATCTTCCTCATTTTATGTGGAAGCGGTAAGGAGCTTGTGGTCACATTGTTTGAAAAGTGCTGGTGCATGGTTTGACGTGAATACGAGCGTTGTTATTACTTATTACTTGAATGTCAGAGTGATTATGATTCTAAAAGTTTTCATGTCCATTTAAAAATTAAAAAAAAAAGCATACAGTCTTGTATGATGAATACATCTTTACTGATGGTATCGATAACAACCACCTTCTCACTTTGACCAAGTATGGTCATCAGCAGACAGTTCTTTGAACTTTCGATGGATGGAAATGACTAGAGTTGTTTCTTCTTAAAATCATTTAACTAAGCGTATTCGCTTTAAAAAAGCTTAAATCTAAGTAATATGCAAACACCGTTGACTTTGATTGCTGATTCTTGCTGGAATAAAACACGATTTCAAAATTAACTTGTTGGTGTTTTTAGTGCTAAGTCACACCGAAGTTGTACTCTAATAAATAGAATCATAAGAATCTTGTTTTTTAGTATTAACAAACAGGTTTTTTATTTGTTTGTTCTTAGTAAAACATTCCATGCATTATGGTGAGCTTTAGATAATGTCAGTCGTATAATCGCTTACGGCTACATGGTCTTTATTTGTAGTTTGTTGATAAACTTTCTCCCCGTCGTAACTCTTAACGAAATAGAGATATTGTTTCAAAGTGACGTTGCAATTACGTCAAATTTTTGAAAAAAATTTGTGAGAAGGGTCGATAAGGCTAG